CCATGGGAGCTAATGAAGTCACCAACAGAGTATTAGGAGAGAAGAAAAGGGGGCCCAAGACAAAACCCTGGGGCATATTGTCAGTCAGACAAATTACGTTTATTAAGTGCCTACTGTGTGCCAAGTGATATGCTAAGGACCCAGTTAGGGGATGAAATATGAATGATGATCCATCCAAGAAGACAGAGAAGGAGCTCTCAGGTAGAAAGAGAACCAAGAGAAAGAAGTGACATGAAAACCCAGAGAAGAAAGAGTATCCAGGAGAGGGGGATCACCAGTGGCAAATGCTGCATTGAGGTCAAGAAGGATGAGCATTGAGGAAAAAAAAGACATCCGATCTGACAATTAAGAGAGTATTGGGAACTTCTACAGAGAGCTGTTTTAGTTGAGTGATGAGGTCAAAAGCCAGTTTGCACAGGGCTGAATGAGGTTCACTAATTCAGACTGGCTTGTTGCCAATCTAGCTTTAATTGGTGAGATTTTATTGGAAATGCTACCACAGTATTTAGATGGGCCAAAGCTATGTAAAACCACATTTTCTGTGGAAAACAAGGCCCCTGAAATAGTTCAATTCAAGTATTTTATAACTCTACAGTGGGTTTCAACATACTGGAGAGAGCCATATTGTTCACTGGAAAACATCCTATAAATACTTCATAATTCATTCATGTACTCTAGGCCTCAGCCACAAATTTAAAAAAAACAACACATTTTTAGTTATCTCACAGAAAGTCTATAAAAATAGGAAAAAAGTAACATCTGTGGCATATAAATTTAAAATTTCCATTGCATATTTTCTTCTAATTTAAGGCACTACTTTCATATGCCATAAAGTATCTGAGAATAAAGCTCAGGAGGTGAATGAATACTTTCAGGCCACAGGAGTTCCATTTAGTAAATGACTCCTTTGCCCTAGCCCACTAGCCTCAGAGAGCTCACCTCAAGAAGGTGAACAATTTACTTCTTATTATACCCAAAGGCTCACTGTTGTTTTCTGGAGCTGATGAAGAGTGAAGAAAGTACGTATAAAAGATTGTCTTATATTTTAGCATCACACCTCAAGCCAACTTGAAAGAAAATCTTAAATTTTTACTGAAAAATATTGTATGTATTACAGCCAGATGAAAGAAAATTACTCCTTCAAATGATATATTTTCCACTGAAACTCTTATAAGTGAAAGGAGCCACGGATGTCACAGACAGCTTGATATAGGAAGAAACACAGAATTGGAGTTAAGAAGACCTGAGTTCAAATCTAGACCCAGATATTTACTAGCCCCGTGTACCTGGGCAAGTCACTTAATCTCTTTCAGCCTCAGCTTCCTCAACTCTTAAATGTGGCATTTGTAAGCATCAACTGAGATAACAAGTAAAGCTTTGTAAACCTTAAAGCACTACATAAATGCTAGCTATTATTATTAACTGGGTGATCATAAATATCACTTTACCTCTTCAAATTGAAAACGGGGATAACAACACCATTAACACATAATACCTTCACAGGACTGGTTGAGGGGCTCAAATGAAATAATAGGATTACATGGTTAGAGCACGAAGGGAATTGAAATACCATCTAAGTCAACCCTCTCATTTTACAAATGAAGAAACTGAGTCCCAGAGCAGTTCAGTGCTTTGCCCGGGATGACAGAATAGGAGGCGGTGTTGGGATTTGAATCCAGGCCCTCTGACTTTCACTCTAGCATTCTTTAGACTATGCAATATAAATTGCTATATATTGCTCTCCTGGATCTGATGCTTTACCAGCTGACTGAACACGGTCAACTCAGCTCACAGCCTCAGTTTCTTCAACTGTAAAATGGGGGTCAAAAATAATTTTTTTATTTTTTGGTAAGGCAATTGGGGTTAAGTGACTTTCCCAGAGTCTCACAGCTAGTGAATGTTACGTGTCTGAGGCCAAATTTGAACTCAGGTCCTCCTGAATCCAGGGCCAGTGCTCTATCCACTTCGCCACCTAGCTGCCCCTTAAAAACAATTCTTGGGCTATTTTCTAGCTCACAGGATCAGGAAGAAAATGCTAGGTAAACCTTACGCACTAAATAAATCAACGTGCTCACAGTCATCTAGTCAGACCCCATTATTTTGCAAGGGAGGAAACTGAGGCCCAGGGACTTTCATACTCCCTTCCCAAAATGGTACAAGAAGAGTAGAAACTTAGAATTTTACCCAACATCTCACACATTAATAGGCCAGCAACTAATTATCTCAATTCCATTTTTTCCACTGGTGACTGATATGGCTACCTTAACTGGTGTCAGTTAAAAGTTGTTAGTCTCTTGGGCATTCTTTCTTTTTATTAACCAGTGAGGTATATTAAAAGAACCTGCCTGAAGAACTATTCTGAATATTTAACAGATTGCTCTGAGACCCTCCTTCAGCCCATTGCAATGATTCCAGGACTGGGGTGGGGATCAGGGGAGTGGGCAGGGAAGGAAGCAACGAAGTAATTTATCAAATCAGCACACAGATTGGTAATTCCTGGCACCCCTGGTACCAAGGCCAAGTGTTGTATAAGCAGAAAAGAAGACCTTGGTAAACAGCCCTAAAGGAGACAAACACCCTGCCTAAAATATCAAATAAAGCACAGCCAGGAGATGAACAGAAGAATATTAAAAAGGAGACCACAAGTGAGCAACAGAGAGAATCAAAACCCTCTCTAGTGAGGTAGTTATTGCCAAAGCATTAGGGCAGCCCTCAGCATTTACTTTAGCTACCACAACTTACTGTTTCCATATGGCTATTTATTTGTAGGTAGCCATCATAAGCAAATTCCCATTACTTGGTAAGCGTAACCAGGCTCAGGATCACCATAGCATTTCCCTCCTTGTCTTGGAAACAAAAATCTAACGGACTTCCTAACAGTTAGGTTAGAGCCCACCTTGCCAAACACAAAACCCAATGAAGGGGAGAGATACACTTGTCAGTTTCCCCTTAATTTTTCACTTTGTATTTTATAGCCATCTCAATGCTCAGTCCTCACTCTTGTCTAAGCAAACCTCAGAGACAGTAAAACCACACGTGGGTCTCTCCTCCCCCCTCACTACCCCGCCCCCACACACTTGAAAACATCAAACATTTGGAGAAGCCTATGTAGCAGAGGAATCAGAAAACCACCTCTGACTAAGACTTCTGGAGCATGTTTTTCAAGCTGACCCACTTCCACATTAGTCATATTGGTTCACAAAATCTCACTTCTAGGTGCAACAGTAATTGTTCCCTGCCTGTACATTCTCTGAACGCAGCAGGCTTCCAGAGAAATGTAATACATTTAAGACTGCCGCCCCACCCTCATCTCACCCCCCCCATCTTCATGTCAAATTGCTCCATCAGCCAGCCTCAGAAAACAGACCTGTTCAGAGATCCGGTCTGTGCCTAACCTGAAACAATTTGTTCTCTCATAGGAAAAGAGAAGAGGAAATCACATCTGCAGGGCGATAGGAGGAAAGTTAAAGCAAAAAAGCAGAGCTCTGATCAAGTATTCAATACTTTGCACCCTTTGACTTTTGATATCAAATATAAGCTCTATAAGCAGGATATGGTGAAGTCTGTGGGAGGTGCCCACAAGACTGAAGACCATCTTCTAAAGAGAGCTGAAATTAGGTGAGAAGGGCCTACCCGAAATACATATGCACAGGCAGGCTCTACCGATGTAAGCCTGTACTGTTCAAAAGACAAGCTCAGGGCGTCCTAGGAAGAAGGGCAAAATGGAAAATTGAAAGATTGAAGCATTTTCTGGGAGGGAGATACCTAGGATTCATGCACTGCTTTCTTTGTATCCACAGCACTTAATTCAGAGCCTGTCACATAGCGCTTCATTCAATACTTGTTGACTGACTGAATGACCCCTGGTTCAAGGACTTAGCCCAGGAGAAGGACAGCATCTTTCTCCACGCCCGTTGGGGCTGTTGCTTCTAGGTTGGGGTACTTCACCATTGCCAAAGAAGGCTGAACTTTCTATAGTCTACCTCCGGCCAAAAACGCCTTTTAAAAAGATAATAAGACGCCTATGTTTGGGGGTGAGGGGCATGAGAATAGAGGAAAGACGAGATGAAGAGTATGTGGACGATCCATGACAAATAAGGCATTTGCAGCAGAACCGAAGATGGGGGCTGACCACAAAGGAAATGCGATTGATTCATTCTCATATTCTCTCTCATTTTCTCTCTCTCCCTCTCTCCTCCTTTCTCTCCTCTCTCCTTTCTGTCTCTATCTTTCTTTTTTGCCTTGGGTTCCCACGGACAGAATCACATGCTGAGAACTGCAGAAAGCAACCTCCCCCCAACCCCCACCTTCCCGGGGGATAGATAAAGACGCCCAGCCAGCCCCCCCCCCCCCCCCCGCCTCCCCAGAGGCAGGACAGAAACCCGGACCTGAGCCCCACCGGCCCTGGGGCAGCCAGAGGCAGCTTCTATCCTGAAGCCAAGGCAAGAAAGAAAGGCTCGGCCGTCAGCTGGGTGACAGCGGTGTGTCTTCCATCCGCACCCCACCCCATGCAGGCACACACACATGCACATACTCACACATGCATCTCTACACACGCCTCCAGGAGCCGAGGATTGGCTTGCATGGGGGTGAAAGCCAGCCAGCTCCGGGAGGGCCAGCTGGGCACAATAGTCCCGGGGCCAGCCCAGCGCACCAGGCAAAATGCACATTAGACAGCTCGCCCTCCCCCGCCGCCGACACGCTCGCAGCGCGCTGGCCGCGTCCACGGTCACAGCCACGGCCCGGCCCGGGGGCCCGAGGTGGGACCCCCCCACGCCCCGCTGCAGCAGAGACTGCGGAGGAGGTGGGGGTGGGGCCCGGGCCGGGAGGCAGACACACGCGCGCGCACACATACACACACACACACACACACACACACACACACACACACACACACACTCGCACACACATCCGCCAGCCCGGCCGCCCGAGCCTCGGCCAAGCTGGGCACGGGCAGGTCTGGCGGCCGCCCCGGCCCCGCGCCCCGCCCGGCCCCCTACCCGCGGGCGTGCTCCGTCTCCTCCTCATTGTCTCCGTCGATCCCGCAGGTGTCTTGGTCGTCGAGCTCCAGGCTCTGCTGGCTGGCAGCCGACTCGCTGTCCTCCGCCATCGCGGCGAGCGAGCGAGCGACAGGGCGAGGGCGAGGGCGAGCGGAGCCGAGGAGAGCAGAGAGTGACAAGGCGGCGGCGGCGGCGGCGGCAAAGGGAGCACCGCCCGTGGGAGTGTGAGCGCAGCCCGGGCGCGGGCGCCCGAAGCCGCCAGGAGCTCCCTCTAGCTGCCGTCCTCCTCCTCCTTCCTCTCCCCCTCCCCTCCCCCCTCCTCCGAATTTGGGGAGAGCTCGGGAGAAAGCGCGCGCACACGCGCCCCCGCCCCCGCCCCCGCCCCCGCCCCGCAGCCCCCGAGCCCGGCCGGGCGCACGCTGGGTCTGGGGTGGAGGGGGCAGGCCAGGGGGACGCGGAGAAGCGGGGAGCCCCTGCCAGGAGCTGGCCCAGCCCGCAGGGAGCACCCTCAGGCAACTCCTCCTCCCTCTCTGTTTCCCGTCTGAAAGGGGGCGAGGGGGTGGGCTAATGATAATCGTCGCAATTCGATTTAAAAGGCTCCGAAGCACAGGCCTCCCAACCCAGCTGTGTTCCAGAAGGAACCGAAGCTCACGGCACAATCAGTCAACAGCCATTTATTAGGCGCCAACTGTACCAGGCGCTGAGGTCCAAGGATAACGAAGGAAGCGATTCCCTGAGCTTGCCTTCTAATTGAGAGACGAGAAGTACACACACACACATCATAGAAGTGTGGCATTTTATAAAATCCCTCCACATGCAGTGCATTAAGACTTTTGGGACAGCCTGCATAAACTGAATAAATACAAATATAAGCAAAGTAGTTAAATACCAGGTAGTTTAGGAGAGAGGGCAGGAGCAGAGGCCATGTGAAGTTAGTGTCAGAAACAGAACTTAAATCCAGGGCTTTCGGATTCCAACTCCAGCACTACCCTACCGTTGCTAGTACCTTGCCCCTGAGATGACTTTCCATTTACATGTATGTATGTATGTATGTATACCAATATATCTTGTTGGTATATACATATATACACACACACCAGTATCTACATAGTTATTTCAGGGTTTCTCCCATTAGAATGTGAGCTCTTTGAGGGCAGGGACCATGTTTTTGCCTTTAGTAGTATCCTAGGTGCTTAGTGAAGTACCTGCCACATAGTTAAGTGCTTAATAAATGCTCGTTGACTGACTGTCGACCATGCTGATCTCTAGGCTCTCGGAATTCTGTGATTGTAAGGACCCTGGAAGAGCTGCAGCGGGGTTCTCTTTCTCCTCCTAGTGGTGTTGGGAAGTATGATTGACTTAGGGTGCCTGATTCTCAGTGGCCCGGAGCAAAATCAGCAGTGGGGAGCCTGTTACGGCTGGACAACTTCCATAAAAGAGAAAGAAAAGTTCTGTTAATAAAGAGGTGGTTGGTGCAATATAAAACAAAGAAAACAAACTCTGGGGGACTGGGGTTCAAATTCCAGATTTGCCACTTAGGTTCTGGTCTCAGAGCTGTAGGACCTTGGGGAAGGCACTTTCCATCCCTGGGCCTCAGTTTCCTCATCTGTAAAATGAAGATATTGAACTAGATGATCATGAAGGTTTCTTCTTGCTTTAAATCGTTTCCCAAAAAACTAGAATTTTCAGGAATGGCAACCCCCTTATCCCTCTCCTTGAACAGGGCTCCAAGAAAACATGAATTATAATCACTATTACATCATTATTACATGAGCATCCTGTCTTCACCAAGCAGAAATTAGTAATTGTCTTAGAAAGCTGGAGGTGGAAGTTTGGAGTTCAGAATCCCCATTGCCCATTTCCTACTTCAACCTTTATACACTATTTTTCCTTGGGCTTTGCTATGACCAGCAATGTCCATAGGCCCTTCCAGGCCATGAGTTCGCTGTGGGATTGTTTGCTGGAAGGCAGTGGGATGTAGGCCACAGCTGTCAGGGCTGTATGGAGGAGGAAAATGAGACTGAAGGAAGGAAGGCTTGCTAAAAAATTTTATATTGGCCTTTCCTGTCTGAGTGATTGGGAACATTTCTACTCTGCAGATACTTTTGAAAGGGGCCAGTAAGAGAGCCTTAAAATAGGATTGAGATAGAGGTAGCTAAAGAAGAAAATCAGAGAGGCAATTTCCAAACCTTGAACATGGTCAGCCACTTGTGACCCATGGATGTGGAACCAACCAAAGGTTTTTAAAAGAAGTGCAACACAGTGACAAAACATGGAAGAAAATGTGATCTCTCTTTCACAGTTGCCACTGATGCAGAAAATTACTCTTGTGGCCTTCATATTCCAATCTGAAGACAGAAACCATTATTGTTCAGGAAAACTTATCTGGGGTTTATCTCTCTGACATAAACACCTGCATAGCTCTGATTCAGTAGAATAATAAACCAGCAGCATCAGACCTTCTTGTGACACCATCAGGATTTGAGAGCCTGTAATTTCCTTCCTCCCCTCCTCCCCCTTCCTCCTTCTCTCTCTCTCTCTCTCTCTCTCTCTCTCTCTCTCTCTCTCTCCCTCCCTCTCTCTTTTCCTTCCTTCCTTCCTTTCTTTCTTTCCGATACCTCTGATTTCACTAGTGGAAGAAACTCCCAGTGAGGAAACACTAGTTACCAATGCAGGACAGCAAGGGTCTTAGAACTACTTAGAGTCTTAGACATATACGGTTACCTGGGGGTACTGAGAAGTTAAGTAACTTGCCAAGGCCAGCCTTCAACCAGGTCTTTTTCTATCAGATACCAGTACCAGAATGAATTTGTAGAAACAAACACAGCTGTTCAACCTATTTTTAAAAATATTTTTTGTCAACTTGTTTTGTTTTTATATTGCCTAAATTTCACCCTGAATCCCACCCTTTCCTCCCTATATTTTGGGGTTCTTAAAGAAAAGATAAAAATGCACCAGGCAAAGTGAATCCAGTAGATATGATTTGTCTGAATTTCCATAAAGCTTTGGTTAAAGATTCCTCAGAAAGACACTGAGAAATTAAATAACCTTAGGGGACAAATGTTTGAAAAATTAAAAACCAGTTAAGGGCTAGAAAACAATGAACCATAGTGAACATATGCTCCCCAGAATGAAAAGAAAATCAACCCAGTAACTCTGGGGTTGGCATTATGTAATATATTTATCATATTAGTCACTGGAAAGGTGAAAAGGTTTGCTGATGGCTTAAGTGTCTTATAACACCTATATATAGAGGAAGCAGACTTTACCACTACATTTACCCTATTTCTCAAAAGGTTATTGTGGTTATCTTCTTCTTCTTCCCCTTCCCCTCCTCCTTCCTGTTCTCCTCCTCTTCCTCCTCCTTTTTCTCCTTTCTTCCCTGGTTTTTCTTTGCTAGGTTTGTGATGCTGCAACAAAGTGGGATTTCCTTGGATTTCAGATTCAGTGTTTTTATGGGGGAGTAAGTATAGACAGAAGGAAAAACACTTGTATCTTCCCTGCTGACTGACTCATACCCCATTAGCAGCGGAGACTGGTCTGGTCTTTTTGAGATTATTTTACACAGTCATGCTTGAAGCCATAAGGAATCAGGAAGTTGTGCTTATAATTCTTCTGAAAGACCTTGCCAACTCAAAATATTAGCAATAACATCAGCAGTCCTTGATAAAGGCAATCTTCTTGATGAAGACTTCTGCATCCTGAGATCTATGAGCTTGTAACACATATGCAAAAAAAAAAAAATGTCCCCAAAGAAACACCATGTGCCATTCCTTACAGATACAAAATAAGGGAAATTGGAGATAATTCCATAGAATACAAATGAACTTGAAGTGATAAACTTTGTCTTTTTTTTTTTTAAAGTCAACATGATTCTATGGTGTTTTATTAGCAGCGTGCTATGAAATGGCTGTAAAGTCATGCTTCCTCTCTGTTTGACATTGACACTCATTAGGTTCTTCTGTCTTGTTTTGATCTCTGAATATTGAGAATATGGAGAAATGGGAGGGAGACTAGAAAGAAGCAATGAAATGAGACTGAAAATAGAACTCAGAAGGAAAGGTCGAAGAAGTTCTTTCAATTTTGCCTGGACAACAGAATACTGAGGGGAGACAAATATTTTCAAGATCAAGATGGTGGATGTTGACCTATTGTTCTCCATTTCCATCGTGGCCAGGAGAAATGAGCTCATTTTGTAAGGAATTTGCTTGGTAGTTGGTGTAGTTCACTTAGGGAAGAGAAATAACTATTATATCTTAAATGTATTAAACATTAGAACAAGCTGCTTACTAAGAGAAGGTCCTTTAAAGCCAGACTGACAGAGGCAGTTAGGAGGCACAGTGGATGGAGCACTAGCCCTAGAGACAGGAAGACCTGAGTTGGACTATAACCTCAGACTTTTACTAGCAGTATGACCCTGGGCAAGTCACTTAACCCTGATTGCCTCCACAAAAACAAAAAACAAAAAAACTGGACTGACAACCAGCTGGTTTTGAGTATTACAATGCAAACCTACCTGAAGTAGGGAGCTATAATAAATTACTTCCAGAAATCTTTTCCAGCTGCAAAATTCTAGGATTTCTGTTGACACAAATATGAACATTCATATGAAGTGTGTGCCTTTCTAAGTACTTTCATATATAATATCCTTTATTTTAATTGACATCCCTTTATTATATATATTTTTTCCTTACATCAAATTTAATGTGTCCAGAAAACATATGACATGTTTCTTCTGAAAGTCATACAAAGAAACTGGACTATTGATATTTCTTTAAAATACACAGTAAAATGTATGACATTGTAATACTTAAATTATCTTTTATATTATCAGTGCATTTCTATCAGTAAGATAATGGTGGATCCAAAGGTCTCTGAACTCTGAAGTAAATTAGATTTAAGAGTGGGAGGAATTTCAAAAGTCCAGGACTCTGGTTACTTTGATTTTAGTCATGCTTGTGAGAAATGTCACTCATACATATTAAATAAAAATTGTTGTCTTACTGACAAAAGCCAAGAAATTCAATTTGATAAACAGTTACTGAGTGCCTATTATATGCAGAGCACTGTACAAAAGTATTATTTTTTCTTTTTTGGGGGGGGGTGGCTA